TTTTTAAATGTTCACCCGCCCCCTTTTATATGTGTCTTCCTTGAGGCCATAGTTTCCCCCTCCCCCTCCCCTCCCCCTCCCCCTCCCCCTCCCCCTTCCCCTCCCCCTTCCTCCCCTTCCTCTTCCTCTTCCTCTTCCTCTTCCTCTTCTTCTTCTGTTAATCTTCACCCCAGCGTATTTTCCCCATTGATTTTTAGAGAGAGAGGAAAAGAGAGGAGAGACAGACGGAGAGAGAAAAGCATCGATGTGAGGGAGACACCCATTGGTTGCCTCCTCTCCAGGCCTGCCCGACCCAGGTTGGAGATTGAGCCAAGTGTATGCCCTTTTATTAAAAAATAAATTAAAAAAAATGTTTTATTGATTTTTTACAGAGAGGAAGGGAGAGGGATAGAAAGTTAGAAACAGCAATGAGGGAGAAACATCCATCAGCTGCCTCCTGCGCACCACCCCCTACTGGGGATGTGCCCATAACCCAGATACATGCCCTTGACCGGAATCGAACCCGGGACTCTTCAGTCCATGGACCGATGCTCTAACCAATGCCATAATGGGTGCCAGGGCGAGGCCATAATTTTCAACAGGACTGTAACTTTTTACTTAAATCTAAGAACAGTAACTTATCATTTGAATACTTAAAAAGGAAAAAGTCTCTCCAATAGGGGGAAGCAAGACAGACATCAAAAGAGAGAGGTGTGCGTCTGGGAATTGTTTTATATAAAAACAGTAAAAAAGGCTCCTGAGCCCTGCTGCTGTCAGAAAACGTGAACCTCGGCCTGCAAAGTCCTATCCCAACCGCCTCCCTGGAGCTCGGCTCCAGGCCTCCCATCCCCCCACCCCGACACTGCACCCCGACACTGCACCCCCAAACCAAGAGGAAGGCCCTGGGCTCAGGCCTGGAAGTGCGGGGAATTCAGGAACTGCCCTAAGGAAGCAATTCAAAAGTTAAACAGCTACCCGCACACCGGCACCGTTGTGGCATTGTTTGTAAAAGCGATAAGTCCAGAGCAAGAGGGAAATGACTAAGTCCTGATCACACGCGAACTTGACGGAGTGGTGAGGTCACCAGGGCGCCCGAGCGTTCCCGACACGGAATGACACGGAGCACACGCCCGCCCACTATGCAGCACGCCATGGGCCACTCGGTGCAGGAGGCATCGGGACATGGAAACAGCTGACCTGTGGGTACCTGTGGATGTCACAATAAGGACTTTTCTTTTCTTTTTTTCTTTTTTCTTTAAAATATATTTTATTGATTTCTTATAGAGAGGAAGGGAGAAGGATAGAGAGTTAGAAACACTGATGAGAGAGAATCATCGACCAGCTGCCTCTTGCACACCCCATACTGGGGATGTGCCTGCAACCAAGGTACATGCCCTTGACCGGAATCAAACCTGGGACCTTTCAGTCCACAACTGATGCTCTATCCACTGAGCCAAACCTGTTTCGACTACAATAAAGACTTTTCAAAGTTAATATCCTTGAAAGTTAATGCAAGTGGATGATGGTTAAAATTACTTAACACCAGCCCTGGCTGGGCGTCTCAGTGGGTTGGAGCATCAGCCCATAAACTAAAGGCTGTGGCTGAATTCCCAGTCAGGGCGCATACCTGGGCTGAGGGTTTGATTTCCATTCCCAGCTCATACAGGAGGTGATCAATCGATCGATAGTTCCCTCTCTCTCCCTCTCTCACCTCCCCCCCTCCCTTTTCTGTCTCCAAAGATCAGTAATGGGCATATCCTTGGGTGAGGATTAAAAAAAAAAAAAAAGAATTGCTTAAAACTAAAATGCTTGCAGCAAAAATAATAAACAAATTAATTAATAGCAGTCCCCTGACCTCCACAAGCAGACACACCATCCCAATCTCAGTGTTTCTTTGGATTTTCATCTCTCCATTTCCACACAGTTGGTCTGCACTGACATTTCTGGGTTTCCAACTTTGAACTTCTTCCCTTAAGGTAAGTTTGTGTGTCCTGCAAGTACACACACACAGCCTCGCCGTCTTCTGAATACAGTGATGGGATCGTCTCTCGTCAAACATCAGTGGTTACCATGTAAATACTGTTCAAAGCCAGGCCACTCAGAGTGCTATGATTTCATTTCCTTTCTTGTTCAACTTTTTGTTATTCCTGTAGTTGATAGTTGCCTCACTTTTCATTTTGTTTTCTGTGTACGGATATGTAGTCCGTACCCCCCACCTGTACCCCCCGCCCGCAAACCCTCCATCGGAGCTGTAAGCTCCTCAAAATGCACAACAAACACGTCAGATAAGCCACCAGCTCCCTTTCTCTTGGAGCCACTCCTCCCGGGCCCTCTGCGATCCTGCTGCCCGGCCCCACGGCTGAGGTCCGGGACTTCTCTGCCCCATCACAGGCCTTCCCTTCACCGCCCGGCCGCCACCAGCCAGGGACCCGGGCCGCAGGTAAAGGAGCCGCGGCTCGCAGGGAGCAGGAGCGGGAGAGGAGCCACCGGGAGGAGGTCCCGGGTCCCGGGTCTGAGGGAGGGTGAGGGGAAGGATGAGGGATTCGCACCTTGAAAACAAAGCCCACAAACAGATGAGGCGACTATCAAGTCCGGGAAACACAAGCAGCTGGACGAGAAGAGGAATCTAACGGCGGCCCCGACGTGAACGCCCCACGGAACGTCTGATGGCGAAAGGCCTCCGTGGCCGCTGAGCGCCGGGGGTCGGTTTGCGCCAAGAACGTGACCTTGCAGCCCTCACCGCGGCGTGGACACAGCCCACCGCATCCCTCCCTCCCCGAGTCAGGATGACATCAGGGCAGGTCCTGGCCACGGGGGAGCTCGGGAGGGCCCAGCTTTCAGGTCCCAGGTGGGGTGGTGGGTAAGTGTCTCTCTTCTCACCCCTCCCAAGAGGCTGCAGGTAACGGCCGGGACACCGAGAGCCCTTGGGCGCCGGAGCCCAGCGAGGACAAGAGACGATTCATTGCACACTGTACACTGTGCCCGTCCCTCTCCCCCGGTTTGCTCTCTCATTCCGCGGGAGCGCATCCTGCAGGATCTTCCTGGAGAGGCACTGAGGGGGCCGGGGGGGGCGTGTCAAGTTTTTGAAAATTCATGCCTGAGAAGTATCTTATTCTGTTATTTTTCCTGGGATGACAATTACAGAATTCGGGGCTGGGAACGAACTTGAACTGGACATTCGGGGGAGCGGCCCCACCGTGCTGCTTCTGTCCGTCCAGGGCCGCTCTGTCCTCCGGCCTGGTGTCTGCGGCCGCTCTGGTGCCTGTCGGCTTTTTGTAACTTTTCTCTATCTCCGGTGCCCTGGGAGTTCCTCATGATGTCCTCATGGCACATCTCATTCTGTCCCGTACGCTTCTTTTGTCTTCATTGTGCTGGGTACTACTCAGAGACGCCTAACGTGGGGACTCCTTCGGTTCCAGAATTTTCTCCTGTAGTTTCTTGGATAAAGTCCCCTCCTCCATTTCTCTCCTCTCTTTTTCTTGAGCTCCTGTGAGACGGATATTGGGCCTCCTGAGCTGATTCTAATTTTCTTATCTTTCCTAGAAATTTATTTTTCAATCTTCCAGCTCTATCCCATGGAAATTTTTACTGCACCTATCATCGTTTTATATCCAATAGCTTATTCCTGTTTTATGAATGTTCCCTTTTTTAAGAATATATTTTGATTTTTTTTTTTTTTTTTTACAAAGAGGAAGGGAGAGGGATAGAGAGTTAGAAACATCGATGAGAGAGAAACATCAATCAGCTGCTTCCTGCACACCCCCTACTGGGGACATGCCCGCAACCAAGACACATGCCCTTGACCGGAATCGAACCTGGGACCTCTCAGTCCGCAGACTGACGCTCTATCCACTGAGCCAAACCGGTTTCGGCTAAATGGGTATTCTTATACATAAAAACATGGAGGGTTAAAAAATTACTCTTAAGAGGCATCTTCTGAAGCAAGCATCACAATGTGCAGAAGACACTCGAACACGGAAGCACAGGCCCACACAAGCCCCGGGCTTCTCCTGTGCCCCAGGCCTGGGGTCCCAGAAAAGCACCAGAGACCTCCAGAGGGTGTGGGGGAGGGGGGGTGCGAGGTGCAAGGAATTCTGGGCCAATCTCTTGGCCTATGACACCGTGGCTATGTCTACCTGCTTTAGGGGTTAAAATCCTGCTAAACATTTTGATCTTTTAAGAGACCCACATGTAACAAAAAAAAATCTGGAAAGTACCAATGGAGATCTAGAGAAAATGAGGGCTAGGGGGGCCTCCTGGGATGATACCACGCCGTAACCCACACGCTTTCCCTCCTGAAATGACTGTAGCTGTTCAAGCGTGTGGGCACGGAGGAATGAGCTGTGAGCGCACCGGACACAGATGCACCCACTGAGCTCGCAAAGGGGGCTGCACCTATCCGCCCGGGAGCTCCCCACCAAACCCAGCTGCTCCCCGACGCCGGAGCGGGTGCCCGGCCAAGGCCAGTCTCTGGCCTCAGTTTCTTCACTGGTACCATGAAAGGACTGCATTCATCTTCCAGGCTGACGTCCTAGACCTAGAAGCTCCGAGGAGCCTCCTATTACTGAGACAGTGACTGCCAACTCCCCGGAGAAACAGAATGTCCCCGGAAGGACTCCTTGAGACGGGAGATACCGAGTTATCAGAATTCAGCCAGGTCCTTTGGAAGAATGCTTTACTTTTTCTCGCCTCAAACAAGCCAGCCCAGTTCTACCAGGGCTGGGCAAGTCAGATACCAACTACGGCAGCCGGATCGTGGGCTCCAGGGCTCCCCGGAGCTCCCGACCCTCCCTGTCCCGGGCAGAGCATCCTTTCTTGGGGGGCTGGCTGAGATCTAGTTCACTTCCCGCTACGGGCTCGCAACACAAATCCAGGTCCTTCTCGCTCAGCTCCGGTCCTACCGAATAGTTCTCCTTTGGCAGAGTGGCCAGGGCGGGCGGAGGGTCACATTCCAATGTCAACTCATACACAAAATAACAGTGCTTCTCCCGGCATGCCGCTGGGCTCCTGCCCTAACCTACCTCTCTGGACTGGTCCGAGGAAGACCAGCGGCGAAGGCCCCTCTGCCTGGCGGATCAGAGATGAGCTGGGACCAGCGAGCGTCATTCCGTCCTCGCTGGACTCTGAGAGCTCCTTATCTGCCTGGAAAAAGAAAAAGGAAAAAAATGTAAGCATCTCAGAAACCGCCCGTGCATTCTCTTGCAAAACTTGAGCGTCAACGCGACTGCTTCAGCCGTGCTCCCTGTCTGCAAACCAAGCACATCCTGCTGGGTGGGCCCGCTCCGCCATCGGCCCTGCAGCCCAGCTGCCTTCGGTGGCACCGAGCAAACCACAGGAGCACGTCCCGGGCCCCGAGCAGACAAACATACACATCCAGATGACTCAGAGCGCTTTTTCGGGTAGTTTGCTGGTTTTGTTTGGCTTCTGAATGCAAAGTACCCGATCTGAGCCAAGCCTGGGTTGGCATTCCTTTCAGTCGCTGCAGGCAGCAGGTTCCTGAACGCAAGGTCCCCACTCGAGACCCAAACTGCATCCTCAAAAAGGACCAGGCCCGCTCCTGGAGACGGGGAGGGGGCCCACCTGGAGATTATCTGCCCCCAGAGAGGGAGGAAGGACCTGACCCCGGACCCTGGGCACAGCCACCTCCACAGCAGGGAGCCTCCTGCTGGAGCCCCTGGGCATGGCGGGAGCGAGGAGCCTGCACCGGCCTCTCCCGGAGACAAGCCCAGCCTAGGAGGCTGCTGGAAGAGGCACCCCTTCGGAGAAGGCATTTCCCAAGGACAAGCTGAGACCCTGCGGCCAGCCTCCTGGAGGCAGACCCCCCCCCAGCCTGGGGCGGTGGGGTGGGTGGTCCCTCACTCAGCGTCCAGGGGACGCGGCAAAGGCTTCCCAGGCGCCGTCACCCAGGAGGTCAGGCCAAGAGCCAAAGAAGAAATAACTTCCAGGGGTGATGGATGGAGTTCACAAGAGGACGGAAGAAAGAAACCCAAAACACAAACACAGCTCGCTCCCGGGGAAGGGAGACAGATGAGAGAAAGCACTTTCCCACCGGGGACGACAGAGCGGAAAGCAGGATGGAGCCGGAGGGAGGGCGAAGGCGAGGAGGGCTCCGTCCCCGGAATCCAGGTCAGGAAGTGCGGGCGGCGGACGGAACCCGCCGGAGGGCGGCCGGGGAGGCGGCTCTTCCCGGGAGAACGGCGGGTCCTGGGCGCCGGCTCCCCCGCCCGCCGGGCCCCCGGGCCCGGGTCCGCCGCCCTCGGGGGGCGAGGGCCCCCCGGGTTCAAGGGCGAAGCCGCGGCGGCCGGAGCGGCGGCGGGATGCTCAGCGCGGGCGGCGGGGGAGGGGAGCGCGGCGATCGCTGTCCTGACAGTAAACAGCCCGCCCCGCGCGGCGGAGGCCGCCCGCTCCCCGGGGTGGCGGGCACCCCGCCCCCCGCCCCTGCCCCCGGGCACAGAAGGGTGCGGAGGGGTCCGAGAGGAGCGCGGGAGCCCCCCGGCGGCCCGCCCGGCCCCCGCCCCGCGCCCCGGCCCCGGCCCCGCGCCCCGGCCCGGAGCCCCGCGGACAAAGCGGCGCCGGCGGGCGGGCGGGCGGGGGCGCCGGGACCCCAGCCGCGCAGGTGGGCGCCGTACCGGGTGTCGGGCCGGGGGCGGGGCCCGGTCTCCCTGGAGACGGTTGCCCAGGGGACGCGGCGGCCGGTCCCCGAGCGGCGGGTGAGCCTGAGCCTCCGGCGGCCGCGCGGAGCCCGCGGGGCCTGAGGGCAGGGCCGGGCGCGGGGCCGGGCGCGGGGCGGCGGCGGAGGGGCGCGGCCGGGGCGGGGCCGGGCGGCGGGCGGCGGGCGCGGCTGGGGCCTGGGCGGGGCCTGCGGGGCGGAGGCGGGGCGTCCCGGCCGGGGGCGGGGCATCTGGAGGGGCGGGGCGGGGCGGGGCTCCCGGCCGGGGGCGGGGCCAGAGCTGCAGCTGCGGGCACCGTCGCCAAATTCTCCCGCGCGAGCCGGGCGGAGCGCAGCGCAGGCGGGAGCCCTGCCCAGCCCGCTGCCCGCGCACCACCTGCGGGGTCGGGTCCCGGAGCCTCGGGAGGCCGCGCCCGCCGCCCGCCGGGAACAGGGGGTGCGAAGCGAGGGCGGGTCGCGCCACATCGGTTTTGCTCGGGGCTCCCGGGAACCCCAGGAACGCGGGGCCTGTCCCAGGTCCGGAGCCGGGTCCCCCGAGCCGCCGGCCACCCCGGGCTCCGGGCTCCGGGCTCCCCTCCAGGGCGCGGCTGTCCCCGGGCCCCGGGCCTCCCTCCCGGCGGGATGGAGATGAGGGGTCCCGGCTTCAACGCACCGCGCTGCTCCGGCGCTTCCCCCGGCGGCGGCCCTTCCCGGCACCGCGCAGCCTGGGCATCGGCCCCCTGGTTGTGGGGGAGAACCGGGCTCCGAGCACCGGCACAGCGGACAGGCCCGCGCGCAGCCCCGCGGCCCCGGGGATGAGCTTCACGCCGCGCGGAGGGGAGGAGAGGGGGCGGAGGGAGGTCAGAGCCCACGGCGGACGCCAGTGGAGGAGAGTGGCTGGAGGCCCGATGGCTCTGCGTCTCCGCCGCTGTCAGGGGTTCGGAGTGCGGGGGGCCCCCCAGGGCCCTCCATCCAGCCCTCCCCGGGCAAGGAGCAAAACGCAGCCGGAAGGAAGCCTGGGAGCAGAGGACCAGGTGGCTGGGTCCTGGGGGGTCCCGCGACCCTCTTTGACCTCTGCGCCCCCCCCCCCACACACACACACAGTAAACTTGTCCGCCAGCGGCCCGGCACCCCAGGCGTCTCGAGGAGGAAAAAAAATGAGGCGGGGGGGGGGGGGCTGTCAGGGCGAGAGAAGGCCACTCCCCTCCGTATCTCATCCCGGTAGCCAGACACTCACGCTGAAAAATACCCCTACACGTTCACACTCAGTCACAGAGGCCAGAGACACACACAGACCATGCTTTCACTAAGACACAGCCCCCGAGACACACACACACACACACACACACACACACACACACACAATTCTGTAAACTGACACAATGTCAGACACCAGGACCACACATGCACACACACACCACACACATATACGCACACACACATACACGCATACATACACACACACACACACTCACACTCATGACGGGGCGGACTGTACGCTTGGCTGACAACCCCTGGTGAAGGCAGGGCCTGGGCCACCCGATGGGGACCGCCCAGCCAGACCCGGATCCTATGGGATCCAACTGGGGCTCAGCGCAGCTCCCCCACCCAGCGCCTCCCCCTCAGCCCTCTCCCCACCGGCCCGGGAAGGGAGGGGAGGGGAGGGGAGGGTGCAGGAGACAGCCCGATGGCGGTGGGCTGGGCCCTGACTCAGTGGATGGGGGAACGCCCTTGCCCCACTGGGTGGGTCCCTCAGGGTGAGGAATAAGCCACTGGAATTCACAGCTGCACGAAGGACAGGAGGAGAGAAGCTGCGAGTCCTGACAGCCGCCCTGACTCGGCGAGGGGTGGTATCTCCACAGTCCCCCTCTCCCCCCCAGGAGGCCAGGGTAGCGGCCTGAAAGGGCTTCCCAGGGGCAGCCGGCTTGTGGCTCCGCCCTCCCCATCCCAGCTGTGGGGCCTTCTCCCCAGGGACCCAGCCCACAGGCTTCCCTTTCTCTGCAGCGGGGTCTGCAGGGCAGCCACGTTCAAAGACAAGCCAGGGCCTCAGCAGCCGTGGGAGCCAGTGGCCCGCCTGGCTGGAGGCTCAGATTGGGGGTCTCCTGTACTGGTTCCTCTGGAGCCCAGAGAACAATCCAAGCTGCTTTGAAATGGCAAAAGCCACAGAAATTCATCCTGCCTGCATGACAGAGACACCCTGGGCCCGCACTGACAGGGTCCGGAGACGCAGCACTTGGGCGTTCTGGGAGAGCACGAAGTGAACGCCTGCAGACACCCGTCCCCGCTGCCTGGCCCGCCTTACGCGTTGGCTCTGCCCGACGGGAAGCGGACGCGGAGAGAGGGACCGGCTTCCCAGCACACAGCGAGTCAGGGCAGGGATGGGAGAAAAGCCCAAATCTCCCGACTCCTCCCTGGGGGCTCAGGTATACGCAGTCCTCTCTGATACAGGTGACGACAGAATAAATTACAGGAGCCCCCCTTTATCCACCGGGAACGCGTTCCATGACCCCCATGGATGCCTGAAACCACAGAGTACCAAGCCCCATGTTACTGGTTTTCTGCCATCCATACAAACGTACGATAACGTTTAATTTACAAATTAGGCACAGCTAGAGACTAACAACAATAACTAATAATAACAGGACGATTATAACAGTCTCCTGGGACACCGTGTAGGAATGTGGTCTCTCAAAATATCTTGTACTGGACTCCCTCCTTTTTTTAAATGTATTTTATTGATGTTTTTACACAGAGGAAGGGAGAGGGATAGAGAGTTAGAAACATCGATGAGAGAGAAACATCAAGCAGCTGCCTCCTGCACACTGCCCACAACCAAGGTACATGCCCTTGACCGGAATGAACCTGGGACCCTTCGGTCCACAGGCCTCGCTCTATGCACTGAGCCAAACCGGTTTCGGCTGGACCCCCTTCTTCTCGAGGAGACATGAGGAGACGATGCCCAGGTGATGAGACGAAGTGGGGTGAGTGAGAACCCAGGCCCACCACGGAGCCGCTCCCCAGACTCGACAGCAAATGCGTACTGATTCATGACAAGACTGTGCAAATAACTGTTTTTTAATTCTGTGGATTGCCGAAACCAGTGTGGCTCAGTGGATAGAGTATCAGCCTGAGGACTGAAAGATCCCAGGTTCGATTCTAGTCAAGGGCATGTTACCTTGCTTGTGGGCACATCCCCAGCAGGAGGTGTGCAAGAGGCAGCTGATGGATGATTTTCTCTCATCGATGTTTCTAACTCTCTATCTCTTCCTTAGTCTCTGTAAAAAAAAAATCAATAAAATATATTTTCAAAAATAAGAAATAAATTCTGTGGCTTACACAGAAGCTCTGTCTGTTTCAGGAGAAATGTGGGTTCCACGAACACCGCATCCTCGAACAGGGCCCTCCGCTCCTTCCCGCTCCCAGCGCCGCCCAGGCCCTGCCTTTTACACAGGAAGCCAATGAGGGGGCAAATCCCGTTATCTGGGAGGAATGCTAACTATGTAAGACCCGCCCCCTCTTATCACGGTAGAGGCTGTTAGAGGGCCAGCGAAGATTCACATGGAACACGGGGATGGGAGTGACTCTGAGAACTTCATCCACGAAGAAATGAAACCAAACCAGCCAACAACAAAACCCAAAACGTCAACCAGTTATCCTTTCGTTACAGCGGCGGATCCATTCGCCGGTGGAGAAATGGCACCAAGCACAGAAATAGCAAACCGCCAACTGGGTTACCGCTCTCTCCTCTTCAGGCAGAAGGGGCCTCGGTCGGCGCTGCCACGTCCGCAGGGAAGATGCTCCCAGGGAGGGGTGCTGTCCGGAACCCCCACACCAGCGCCGAGCGGGTGCCGCGGGCACGGGGAGGGCCCTCCCCGGGTGGCTGGGGCCGCCCCCGCCCCCGCCTGAAGCTCGCACGCTGTTTGTTTCGGGAACTTCCCGTTTCACACTTGCAGACGGAGCTGACTGCGGGCCATCAGAACCTCGGGTCAGGTGGCCCGGAACCACTGTGGTCTCCCGGACACACAAGTTCCCTTCGCCTCTGTGAGAAAACCGGGGCGAGGAGAAAAGCTGCGTTCCCGCCATTCTCCCTGCAGCTGCCAGGGGCGGTGTGGCTCAGTGGATAGAGCATCAGCTCCTCTTTAAGTCCCCGAGCACGAGGCAGGAGGCCAGGGCGCTGGCTCCCACCAGGAGAGCCTGGCCGGTCCGGGAGTAAGAGGGAAGTTTGTTCTGTCTGGGAATCACTCCCTCTCCCGCTTCCCAGCCCTGCAGGTACCCTCACTCCGAGGACATGCCAGCTGCTCCCGGCTGCCCGCCAGCGCCCCCACCGCCAACCTTCCTGGCCTACATCGACTCCTCCTATTCAAACGTGACGCTCGGCATTGCAGGGGGTCGGAGTGTGTCACCCCAGGATACCGCACGCCGGCGTATGGTTGTTAATATAAATGTGCTTTTATTGGCTTTCGATAACAGGGAAGGGAGAGAGAGAGAAACGTGGATGGGAAAGAACCATTGATCGGCTGCCTCCCACACGCCCCTGGTGGAGATGGAACCTGACATTTGGGCACGTGCCCTAACCCCAAATCCAGCTGGTCGTCCTCGGTGCGAGGGACAATGTCCAGCCACGTCCCGCCGATGGGGCCAGCACGCTCTTCTGAATTAAAAGTAGCGACAGACAGCCAGTGCGAGGAGGACACTCAGCCTCCTCCTTGGTCCCCGGAAAGCAGGAGGGAGAAGTCCCGCCAGAGACAGGAAAACAACGGCATACACACAAATGTCACTTCTGTCCTCCTACCTCCAGCCCCAACCCCTCGGCCTCACCAGCCCTTCGCACATTTACTGTTTCTTTGTCTGGAAAACACAAAAGCTTCTTTCTTATTCTGGTCTCATATCTCTGAGGGGATCCCGAACTTTCGTGTGTAATTAAATTATTTTTTTCTCCTGTTAACCTTTTTAAATATATATATATATATATATATATATATATATATATATATATATATTATTGATTTTTTTACAGAGAGGAAGGGGGAGGGATAAGGAGTTAGAAACATCGATGAGAGAGAAACATCAATCAGCTGCCTCCTGCACGCTTCCCAACTGGGGATGTGCCCGCAACCAAAGTACATGACGGGAATAGAACTCAAG